GGCTGTCTGCGCCCGCAGATCCGGCGGCAGGAAGAAGGCCGCAGCCGGCCTGGCGAGCGCGGTCCCAGCTCGGTGGGCCCCGACCTGGGCTTAACGCCAGGGTGGGGCGCGCTGGACTCCCCTCCTCCCCACCCCCCAAGCAGCAGGGGGAGAGCGGTTCTATTTACTGATGCTGTCGGTTCTCGTGCGAGCTCGGGGCTTCCCCAGGGGGTCAGGCGGGTGTGGGTGCAGTGGGAGGACTGGAAGCCCGGTCTCCGGCTGTGGCCTCGGACGCTGCAGAGGCTGTTTTATATGAGCAATTCTCCGTATGGGGAATGGGGAGTTGCCTGAGACCCGGTGCCTCCCCTCCACCTCCCATACCCAACCCCAGGAGCGCCCCAGATCCCCTGACTTGTTCAGGTGCAAGGACACCTTATGGCAGTTGGCAGCTGGAGATGAAAACCCGGGGTTGGGTGCTGCGAGCTGGGTCTCGGTTGCACAAAGACAGATGCATTGTAATGGTCGAATTCGCTAGTGCCATTCCGTTTGAAACCTTCTCCCCCTTCCTTCATCTTCCCCAAATAAAAACAAATAAACAAAAATCACTGGGCTTTCTCGTTAGTAATCTTAAAGAAGCCAAGTGATGGGGTCTAGTAGCTGAAAACCGACAACCAAAGTTGCGTGTGAGGCCTCCTGTGGAGCATAGACCCCCGGCCTGGATGATACCAGTTGCAGAAGTGCCCCGTGGATTTTCCTGAGATCCCGGGAAGGTTGAGGAGGGGTCCGCCACAGACCCTGGGGACCAATCGTAGGTTTCCCACAGGGAACCTGGGAGATACAGTTATTTCTAGGCATCTAGAGAGGGCATTTGGGGCAGGGTCAACTTATCTGGAATATGGACTCTCCTCGCTCCTCTGGGATTCACTCCTACGCTGAGCAGGGGAGCCTGGGATTAATCAGAGGATATAAATGTGTCATAAGGAGAGCCTGCGCTCAGTCCTGCGATTGCGCTGGGCATCACTTGTCACTGGGCTAGACACTGGGACTGAAGCACGTGTCACTGGGCGCATCACGCATTGGGACAGTAAGGTAGGGAGCCGGCACCTGGGGGCTTGTGTATTGTGTCACGGAATGGTCATTTCTGGTGCATTTCACTGCTGCGGGGGAGCCAGGAGGACCTACAGCTATACCTTGGGTACATTTTTAATGGCCAGTGTCGTGGCGGTTCCCTTCTGTGGATACAGATCTATTGTTTCCACCATGATCGTAAACTCGCTTCCCGTGAAGCCTTGTGGACCCATTGCTTTTGCAGCTTGTCTCAGGGAAATTTGTTGTTTCTGGGCCGGGCTTCAGGGCTGGCAGACCCAGGGAAGGAGTGCAATGTGAATGGCGATTCTCCACTGGTGTGTGTGTGTGTGTGTGTGTGTGTGTGTGTGTGTGTGTGTGTGTCTGGTGGCAATTGAGCTGATCTTCGGAGGAGGTTTCAAAAAGTCGGGTGTCTTCTCTGGGTGGGGGTAGGTGGGCGGGGGAGGATTGTGGCCAGGTCCACTCCGGTCTTGAGCAGTGCAGTGACAAAATGGAAGCTCAGTAGCTGCCGTGAATGATGAGATGGACTCTGCTGGGGCTGAATTGGAGTTTGGGGTATTTATTTTCTGCTATAAAATACCCCAATTATATAATTCTGAGAACAAAAATCTTACTTTGAACATCTTATGAAGCCTGTCGAGTTGATTATATTTTTTATTTATATATTTTAAAATAAAACAACTTAAAGGCATCCGCAACCTCTGGGCCCAGAGTCTCATGGTTTTTTTGGTTTAGTTCTTGATGGGGCCTGGCTCCACTGGCATCAGCGCGGGGTGCTGGAAGGAACGGCAGGAGTGCTCTGTGGTGCAGTGGAGCCTCTGTGATGATCCCGGAGTATGGTTGTGAGGAGAGGAATGGCCTGAGCTCCAGGGACACACAGGGAGGGCAGATATGGAGGATAGTGTAGTGAGATCAGAGTTCTGGTCCTGCTCTGTCGCAAATTGGCGTGGCTTTGGGCAAGGCAGTGGTCCCCTGGGCGGCCCAGTCTCCAAGTCAATAATAATGTTTACTCGAGCCATTGTGTAGTGCTTTTAAATGCATAAGGAGGTATTTCCTAGAGGACAACGCTAAGGCAGAAGGGGGTGGGGGAGGGCGGGAGGAGTTCAAGGGCCTTTAGGACACCTCTTCCCAGGTGTGGATGGGAGCCCACACCCCATATCCTCAGGGGCACCCTATGAATGTGTTGGCTCTGTACTGCCTGGGCCGGGCCTCCCTTCCAGACCCGACCTCACTTCCGAGTCCAGCTGAGCAGAAGAGGGAGGAGTGTGCAGGGAGGTAGGCCAGGATCTCCATCTTCCCTCCCTGATGTCTCACCTCCAGTCCTGGGGGGAGTAAAGGGAGGCTGGGGTTTCCAGCAGCTGCACAGAAGACACCCTCGCGGGGGGTGAATATATGTTGAAATGGGGTGCTGGTTCCCTGGGATAATTCTCTGGCAGCTCCAGCAGCGTGGACCCCAGGCTCTGCAGCCTCCATTCCCTAAACTTCCTGCTCGCACCCCACCACGTTTCTAGGTACGCGTGGCGGTAGGCTGGAGGCGGTATTGCTGAGAGGCTCTTCAGGCACCCCCACCTCCGCGGGGCCGATTCCCCGCCAAAACCCAAGGGGAGGGGGGCTGGGAGGAACTCGGTCGGGGATTTGTTCCCTCCTCTTCCCTTGCGGCCTGAGAAGGGGACGGGGTGGTATTTCTCTCTCGCCTCTTTCTACATTTCCTTCCTCCTTTCCCCCTTCTGTTTTTCCTCCGCTGACTCTATGCCTTTTCTTCCAGAGTCTCTGTTGTCTTTCTCCACCTCCGTCCTCTTGCCCCCCGTCTCTGTTTCCCAGGCACCCTCCCCTCTTCTCCCAAACCAGAGACACCCCCCCCTGTCCTCCCTCCCCCCCGGCCCGCCAAGGCGGCTATGCCCCCGAGGGCCCAAGGTGCGCCCACGTGGCTCTCCGTCTGTCGCCTTTTCTCACTCCGGGCGGGAGTTCTTTTTTCAGCCTT